CTTAACACATGCATGTGTGTGTCAGTGCGTGTTGGTGTGTCACTGTGTAGGTGTGTGTCAGTTTGTCAGCAGTGGCGCCTACAGGATGCGAAAGAGTTGGGCTGCAGTCAGTTTTTTTGTGGGTGAATTATGCCAGGCTGTACTGTCGTAAGGCGCTGGTGTATTTGTGAGCAACCATGAGCACTGACTCAGATAAGGGGCTGCTCTCTCACTTTAGATTGTATGGGAGGTCAGAGAGCTGTAAGAAGTGGCAAAAGAGCACACTGGAATAAAAATGTATGCTGTTAACATTCCACATTCAGCTTCTAGGCAAGATTTCATGTCTACTGTTGGAGAGGGCTCTCACCATTGACTGATCTGTTAGTCATTCCACTCAGATACAGACAGCATCTGTTAAGCTGAATTTAATCCAGCATGAATTCCCGCTCCGTGAAATGTACGTTTTCATAACCTTGATAAAATTTACCGTCTGCTCAAAGTTAGCTTTGACAGTGAGCAAACCTGTTGTAGAGCGTCGCGTTGAAGTTCCGCTTTATACTCACACTTGTACCTGTTTTTTTCTCTTAATGTATGAATGTGTTGCCAACTTTTATATTTTTAACTATGCCTGTGTTTAATATGGCATTAGAAATACTGAAAATGTTTGATTAAAGTATTTGAAGTAATAAGAGTAATTAAAAAGTAATATTCGAAAAGGTTAGCCTCAGTTCTTCAGCCTCCTGCTCACTGTGCACGGTGCCAAGGCCTCATCCAGCTTAGTCTGGCACATTTAAACCAGTTGGTTTAATTTTTTTATTAAAAATCTACATGTACAACAAAATTTCTATATCTACATGAATGAAGCACAAATAAAAATTGAATACAAAAATTACACCTAATCTTTTAATCATATGCTAGATCGATTTGTTTTGATTGAAAAATCATGTATCTATTTCATACATTTTCAATATATCTTGTGTGCTTACATTTTCCTGTTATAGAATTGCACCATGGAACATTTTCTGAAGACCTTCCATCAGTTCTTACTCCCCACGAGGACATTTCTTACCTGATTAACAGCAAACTGTTTGAAGTAATTTATCAGATTTTACTCAGTAAACACCAGACATATGTGGTTCTATGACTCCGTTATATAATATGACACAGCAAGAGGTCCAAGAGATGATTACGTTTGATACAGGGGAAAAAATGTATTCCATATTTGAAAGAACAGTCGGCGAGAGCTTAACTACAATCAAAAAGTAACTGTTGTGGCATGCTTAAATATTTCCAAAGCGAGAAAACTGCAATGTGAAGGTTTGTAATAAGGGTTGGTCTTTAGCAAAAACAGACAAATTGATTCAAGGCTGACAGGATGTTCTTTTTCTTCTAACAAAATATTTTTCACAGAGTTTACTTTCTAAGTGGTCGGTAGGATCTTAAAATAGCAATTGGCATAATTAGCACAGTTTGCACCACTAACAGCATAACAGGAGTCGCTGTGTGTACTTTGTAAAGCAATTAGACTCTCACCTTTCTTTAAGTGCACAAGTTCCACAGGTCTACCAAACTATTCCTGGTCCAGTACATCCTTTAGAAAAGATAAATCAATAATTATATATATAGGAGACCTCCTTCAGTGACATAATGCTGCACCCTAAATTCACCAGGGGGCCTTATCACAAATCTTTCCTCTGTAAAACTTTATAATGTCACTGTTCCCAACAACCTCGTTAAGTTTTCACATGCATGCTGATTTATGGCTTGGTTAAATAACATACTGCTGTCATTTTTGCAAGTCTCTGGTGTTGCTGCCTTTTTTTTTTCACATATCGACTACTGTAAAAATATCCACAGCTATATATAGGATTTTATTCTCTAGATGCACAGTATTTATATTGTAAAAACACTGTACAGTACAGTATTTATTTGTTTATTTTCTTAACTTTGTCACTCATTCTGTTATTTCTATACATTTTCTAAGGTCCACATTGTGTAACCACTTGTTCTATAACATTTTACTGCTGCTGTAACACCACAATTTCTCCATTGTGGGACAATAAAGGGGTTTTCTATTCAATTTGTTGCATTGAATGATTGATAACATCTTATAGTTATTCTGAGGAATCACCGATCAGGACAACTCGCTGGTTTAGACTTCTGATTCCATATTTTATAATCTCCAATACATACAACACTCTTTTTTTGCCAGGAGTGCCAACTGAGGTGGAGGCTGAAATAAACAGTACATGCTGACAGAAAATAATTCAGTTTAAAACAAATAGACCTATATTCTCCCTTAGTACTGAAATGAAAGTAAAAGTATAAAGCTTTTATCTAAGGAATGATGCCTTTGTCCTTTTGGTTGAAAAGAAAATAATCAAAATCATGCTGCAGTTAGTCGATTCAGGAAGCTGGCAAAGACTCCAAATAAGATTCGTAGAAATGAGGAACCTGTTCCTGCTCCTACTGTGGAACAAATAGCGGCTTTTGAATATTAATCTCATTTCCATGTATGAGTCATAAAAAGTTCTGTGCATTGTTAGTGTGATACCTCATCATGATGTTTTAGACTAAGCCTCTGTATGCCTAGTAGGAACAATTTATACCATAATAAGCTGAATAAGCTGTCCTGTTTCCTGAGAATAACAAATCAGGTTTTGGTTGTATGTGTTTAGTGGCAGAATGAAACAGATTGTGACTGAAAGGAAAAAAAAAAAAAGATAAGTATCCCAGGAAAAAAGGGTGGTAAATGGGGTGAAAAATGTAACCAAGTCTTAGCCATTTTATTTGATAATCGTTTTGACGTGCTTTTTTTAATTTAATCTTTATGTGACTTTGTTAGAAAAGCCTTTTATCTCTTCATTACTCTCAGAGCAGACATTGAAGAGAACAGAACAAAGAACTGTAAAAGGTTCAATTAGACTCACACCTTTCTTTAACTGCAAAAGTTCCACAGGTCTACCAAACTTTTCCTGGTCCAGTACATCCTTTAGAAAAAAATAAATATATATATATATATATACATATATGTGAATGAACATTGACTTGAACATATAGGAGACCTCTTTCAGTGACCGACTGCTGCACCCTATAAGAAGTCTTTTATTTCTTCATTACTCTCAGAGCAGACATCGAAGAGAACAGAACAAAGAACTGTAAAAGGTTCAATTAGACTCACACCTTTCTTTAACTGCAAAAGTTCCACAGGTCTACCAAACTTTTCCTGGTCCAGTAGATCCTTTAGAAAAAAATAAATATATATATATACATATATGTGAATGAACATTGACTTGAACATATAGGAGACCTCTTTCAGTGACCGACTGCTGCACCCTATAAGAAGTCTTTTATTTCTTCATTACTCTCAGAGCAGACATCGAAGAGAACAGAACAAAGAACTGTAAAAGTTCATTTTGGATATCCAAACAAATTGCTAAGGTTTTAAGGATAAAATTAGATATTTAAGAATTGAATGAAATATATCATTCAAAGTATAATAAAACATTTCTCCCAGTTGTAGTATTTAACTGTCATCTTTAAACCTCCAACTAAATACGATGTCATTGGGTTGCAGTAGCTGTTAGTGGGTGCAGTAACACTCAGATGTGGCTGTATTGCTTTCTTTCGTTGTCAAAAACACATGTCTTGACTATTATGTTGAAAGCAGTGGTGGGATTTGCAAAAGAAAGGTTTGCCTGGGTTGCTTATTTGCATGTCTATTTAAGGAGCTAATTTGAACAGTTTTATTAAGTTTGGACTCCATTTCATCATCTTCAGTTCAAAGTTGCACACATTTAGATTATTTAGTTCTCAAATGGATTATTCTACAATGAACAATGATTAAAAATACAACCTGGGAATTAACTAAATTATCTGCTCTCTATCCGAAATTCATTTTGGGGCTTTTTGGGTTGTGGGACCTACTTAGATTGGGAGAAATGTTAACGATACTGGTCAATCCTGGACTGAATTATTTTCTATTATCTGTTTATATCAAATTTAGAGATTATGTCTGTCTAACATCCATCCTTCTTGTGAGATCCATAAAAGGTAGATATTTTTTTTAGGTCTTTCTCTACATTTCAGATCATATGTTTTATTTATTTATTTTTGCAGAATGCAACTTTTATTGGAATGGTTGTAGGGGCTTAGGCTGTGAGTTGGTGGGCAGGAGCTTGGGCATACAAAATAATTTCTTTATTTAAAGTCTTGGGGAAAAACATTATAACAACAAATTTGAGTTTCAGACGTTTTTAGAACATTGGATGACTTTTCTAAGGCCATAAATGCTTAAGTCAACCCTATCATTTTTGCTCGTCACATCTATAAGATGTAATTGAAGATTGCTTCTTCATCGGAAAATTACATGTGATTGAAGCATATGGTTAAAACTAAGATTTAACAAGAAACAAACTCAAAAAAGGGAAAAATTATTAATATTCAACAATATTTAATAAATATTACTGAGACACTTTTTTTTTTTACCTTCTGCACTTATCTATTTTAGTTCTTTATAGATTAACAATGATTTTCACAAGTTATAGAAGACCAATCAGTTATTTTAGATGATGTGTGCAAACTTTTTGTGTAATTGTTACTATTGCACCACCTGCTGGTTATCTCTATCAAAAGACCTCACTTAGTAGATAGTTGGTTTAGAGGACTGGTGTCTTTGTAATGCAATAAAAGATCTACAAACAACATAATGCTGCAGAGATTATAGTTTCTTTTATTGTTCTTAATTAGTTTTCAGGAAAAGTGGGTGATCCAAGAAAAAGCATTTAAAAAGCTTTAAGAGTAAATGTCTCTATTTGTTGTGCATAGTTAATTACAATTACTATAAAGGGAGAATTGCTGCTACAAACGGTTAAACTGAAAAATATATAGATTGCTAAAATTAACACAAGTTTTACTGTTATGTGTTAATATATCTCTGTATATCTCTGACGAACCCTAAAATATCTAAGCTTCAAATAACGTATTAATTTTGTTGTGTTTTCTATCTTTCCTAACTGCAGGTGAAGCCAACTCAGGTCAGTGGACCCAAACTGATTGGAGACATGTTCTAAGCTTTATCCATCTGTTACCATGAAAGGGTTAGGAGCCAGCCGCAGTCGCCACCTGTCTGACTCATGTGAACCGGCGGGGTGCCCTCAGAAGCCTTTGTGCCCTCTTACGTCGGATCCCCACAGCTCCTTTCTATTAAGCCCTACAGTAAACCACTATGGCACTTTGGACCCACATCTCCATCACTACACCCCTACCAGCCCCACCTCCATAACCCCTGACTGTCTGCTGCCTTTCAGTCCCATTCCCAACAGCAGCACTTTCCCTCGTCTGCATTTTACACCTCAGGCTGACCAGCTCGATTGCCCCCAAAGCTGCATTCCTGGTGGTGGGCAGGGGGGCAGGGCAGGTACTCTGTCCACCTCCTTGTCTATGGGTATGGGGTTAGGTCTGGGTCTGACTGGTGCTCCCATGATCACCAGCGGATCAGCCACCATTTCCTCTGCAGCAGCAGCTAAGATGAACCGATTGCCCTCAAGCCTTTTGGATCAGCTTGAGAGGCACCTGCCCCTGCAGCGCGATGGCTTCAGCACACTGCAGTTTCACAGAGGACGAATGTCCAAGCAGCGCAGTGAGAGTCCAGGTCGGATCCGCCACATCATGCACTCTGTGCAGAAACTGTTTGCCAAGTCCCAGTCTCTAGAGAACTCTGGGCAGAAAGGCAGCTTAAATTCAACAGGAAGTGGCGAGGAAAGTGGCAGGCCAAGCCGCAGGAGCAAGAGCAAGGACAGAGCTAAGACTGAGGGATCAAAACAAAGACCTAGACCTACTACACTAGGCCTTTGGGGCTCAGATGATGCTCTGGACACTGACACCAAAGCTGGCACTATTGCTGTAGGTTACCGCAACCCACTGAGCATGATGACTCTTGGCAGAGCAGTGTCAGACAGCCAGACTGCTCTCCGACATATTCCACAGGGCTATAATACAATTTCTACACATTCTCTCAAAACCTCAAAAAGCAGCAGTGACCTCAAGTTCCTGGCATGCCCGGCAATGCAGGTTGGACCCAAGGAAGAGGAGCTAAGAAACATTGGGAGTAAGGATGACATGGCGGTCAAAAGGGGCACCTGGTCCACTCTCACCTTAAACCAGGCCAGGCAAGTGTTGCAAAAAGGCTCTGCTACAGTCAACAGGACCCTGCTAAAGACAAAGTCATGCCACCAGGATCTGGCACAGCAATTTCTTCAGGTAGCTGTCCAATTTTTAATTTTGTCAACCAAAATGTTTAATTCCCTACTGAATTCATTGTTCATACGGTCTTGTAGAAAAGTTTGCATATACATGTTGCAAGTTTCAACTTCGACTCTTGCCATCATACAGTCATGATGAGAACTATTAGACAACCCTTGTTTACTATTTTTGTCCATTCCATTCTTTTTTAATATACCTTCAGAACAAGCTATAAAAAAGACAAGGGTTGTCTAATATCCATTACTATATCTATTTTAGCACTACTGTTGCTTCATTTGATATCATTTAGAAATTAAAGTAGTAAATATCTGAAAAAAAAAGAGCAAAACCCCACATTGTTTGAATAAGAAAAACATGCAAGTAATTTGTCACTGTTATCTAGGTTCCCCTGGATGACTGGACGGGAAGTTTGGGACATGGAAGATCCAAGGGAACAGAGATCCCATGCCGAAGGATGCGCAGTGGCAGCTATGTGAAAGCCATGGGAGATCCAGAAGACAGCGAGGAATCCGAGGGAAGCCCCAAGCCTTCCCCAAAGTCTGCAGCACGTCGCCAGAGCTACCTGAAGGCCACCCAGTCCTCCCTGAGCGAGCAGCAGCCACCGCCACCCCCTCGCAAGTGAGCAGCTTTTGCAGTCGCCAAATACTCACCACATAGCTTTATGTTTTGACCCAGTTTAATTTCATTATTTCGAATTAAAATTCATGAAAATATAATTTGGCTTTATATGATTTTGTTAACATTGTTTTCTCATAATTAGACAGCAGGTGGCAGCATCTCTTCACAAATAAACGTCCCATTATTATCCCATTATTTAAAAGATGCAGAATGGTTAGATAATAGGGAAAGGGACAGCATCACTCTGTATTTGGTGGAAAGAGGAATAGCAGGTGAATTTCTGCCATGTCCTCTACTCCCACACCCACATGGACAGGTCCCGCTGCTACGCTCTCATGCGGGAGGATTTTCTGTGGTCTCCTCTGCAGAGTGCATGCTCTATGCAGCATCTGAGGTCAGTGTGATTCACATGCAGGGAGTGTGGCCTTCCCTCCACCCACACCTGCCCTACCTCGACTCCCCACCACCTGCCTTTTGCCCACACTTGCCTAATATTTTTCCTCTTAGTGCCCCACAAGAGACCCAAAAGTGCCACAGTGCAATAAGTAAACACAATATATATGTTTAATAAAAAAAATATATGGTCAAATAAAACATATGTTCTATTATGAAAAAAACTAAGTATCTATGTTATACTCAAGACGAAATGACTCGGTTAAAATGATTAATTAATAAATTATGAACTGGCTGCTCATATTACTCATATACCGTAATTGAAAAGAATAAATATTGGGAATCAATTGAAAAGTTGTTAAATTAAAAAAAAACTTGCATTAATAAAAAAAACAAAAACATGATTGATTATTTCAGCTGTAGCAACAAAATAAACATTCTTACATCAGTTTTATCATTTTTTAATCATTTTTACATATATGTTACAAAATTTACATGAATAAATGTTTTGTATTTCAAGTTTATGAAATGTGATCAATAAAACAACTTCTCCATTGTGGTATTTTTGGTTCTCAATAACCCTGTGCCATCTCTCACCTTGCAGGTACCTTGCACCACATGTTTGTCCAAACTTTTAACTTGCTTCCTCAAGACCTTGATGTCATAACATGGAAATTAGCTTCATGTAAATGACTTCAGTGCCCACTGTTGCTTAGTGCACACATTGTCACTAACAGCACTGACCAACCTTGCAAGCCCAGGACAGAGGAAACTGATTTCTAAGAAAATATGAAAGAAAGCATTGTGAAACTCTTAACTGGCCTGCTTACAGATTTTTGTTTCCTCTGTGCTGCTATGTATATGCAACTACTATATCCATCCACATATTTCAGCATATTTAACCTTTTAAATCACAAGTATTTTTTACTCGGAGCCTGAATTAAAATATATTCCCTGCGTATCATCAATTAAATAAAACCTACACTTCTTCTACTCTCAGACTCACAAGATGCTAAAATCATGATTCCCTACCCACAGCTCCCTGCCATCCCTCAAAGAGCTGTCCACAAATCGGAGCCTTGATAACCTGGACTGCCTGGTCAGCCCCCTGGAGCCTCCTCCACGTCACAGGAACAATGATTTCAACCAATGCTCCGGCACACTGGGCAGAGGCTTAGGCACTCAGGTAGGTCTGAAATCCAAACAAATGTGTTGCACTCTTTTATTTTGGACATTATCTCCCCCCAGTACCTGCTTAGAAAGTAAGATGTCTGAGTAATTATAAGTTTGAAGTTTGCATTTCATCCAGTCATCCAAAATGTTTAAATGGATGTTTCTAGGTAATTAGATAAATGGTATTTTTTGGAAATATTCAGAATCTTAAAATGTTGCATAATAACATTAATATTGTAGAATATGTTGTTCTACAAAACTGACAGCAAACTTTACCCTAAGGAAACTGCTCTAACTGCTGATGTGGGGATGCTTTTATTAGAGGGGACAGGGCATATATTATGGAGATAATGGAAAATGACACAAGTTAGCATCTGCAAAAGACTGGAGAGGTATGGTACTTGAAAACGTTCTGATAAGTAAAACAGGAAAATATTTCAGTTTCAAAGTTTATCAAATGAAAGCATAAACCATCACTAACTGCTGCAAAAGGTGGTTCTACAAAGTGTTGCCTCAGGGTGATAACACAAATGCATGCCGCATTTTTCAAAATCAAAAACTAAAAAATTTTCATGTGACCTCACACTTCAAAGGTCTGCATTACTTTGTTTTGTTCTTGTGCATAAAATGAACATACAGTATTTTGAAAGCTGTGATCATATTGTGTCAAAACAAAAGTGTTAAAGTTGTATGAATAGGTTTCCTGCACATTTTATATTTGCTCTAATTGTAAAAGTGCTCCGAGAGATTGCATGCTGTCAAAATGTATTAACTAGATAGCGCTAGATAGAGAGCCTGTTGTAAAACTTCATCCCGAATTTGGCTTGGATGCTACACAGCCCACCGTGATCAGCTGAAATAAAAATAGAAAAGCAGAGAACAAAAGATGTTACTATATTTGGACATGTTTTACATAAACCAAGCAATGACTGAGAGAATCAGCTTCTCCTGAGATGAAGGTAAAGTCATTTCAAGTATAGATTTTTTTTTTTTCTGTTCGAGTAAATTTGGACTCATTTGATATTTGAGATCATGTGTATTTGCTCCATTGATTCCACAACTTATGATGGAAATTATATTTTTCAAGCCTTAGCTATAAGCCACCTAGATATTCATTTCAATGTCGTTATAAAACAAAATCTATTAATAGATCATAAAATGAAATTGTACTTATTTTCAATCTTTACCCTGACTGAGAACAAAGTAACTGATTTTATTTTGAGTTAAACAAATTATTTCAATTATTCAAATGCAGTAAGTAGGCTAATATCTTTCAGCACCCAGATAGGTCTCATCATGTATTAATTTTGCAAATCAGCTACTTTTGGGAGACTAAGGACTGAAGTAGACTTTTTGGATCTTAAAAACAAGCTTAAATTTAAAAATGCCATCGTCTTTCATGCTAATGTTACATTATGAAGCTTTTAGCCTTTCTCACTTTCAATTGATGGAATATTTACATAGAATCTAAAAGAAATTGGAAGCGCATTAACACGCATCTCAGTAAAACGCATACTACGAACAGAACATGTAGAGAATTTCCAGTCAGAGTAACTTTCTGTTATAAAGATTCACCCAAACTGCTCAAATATATTTGCATTATACTCTGCTCTACCTGTTTATTTCTTTTATCAGACAACTATTTTGACCAGAAATCATTTACATGTTCCACTGCACTGTGTTTCACATAGGAAACTTATCATTGTAGCACTACCTCTTTCCTTAATAAATAGTATTTAAATCCCTGTAAAATTCAAATTTTACGTTTTAAAACTTGCTTAAATTTCATATCAAAACCTCTTTTTAAAAGCTCTGCATTTTCCTATCACATTTTAAATGTGAGACAGTTTAATCTATATTAAATAGACCACACCAAGTTGAGCTTAGATATTGACTTTTAGCAGCGGGAAGTAGTTTAAAGATATTATGTTGTTAAGAGTTTATCGGTTCTGTTCTTCATTAGTTTTATACTGAACTCTTAGATTTGTTTTTGACTCATGCTAATAAAGGAATGAGTCATATCTTCAGAACCATATATTTTTATTTCACCAATATAAACTTTGAAATCAAGCTTAAATTATAAACTCTATTTAACTGCAAATATGAAAAGGGTGAAGCTTCCCTATGTCACATGCTGATTCTGCTTCATTTATTACAATAAAGGATTTTTTTTTTCACTGACACCGTCCCCATGTGAGCATAGATCTGTCAATGTGTGTTTATGGGTCTGAACTCAGTGCGTCAGTCTGCACACGTTCTTTCAGGTATTCGCTCAGGGCTGTGGACACTCATTACCATACTGTGAGGGGGAATCAAAGGCAGTCGAGGCTCTGGATCTGCCTGCACCCACGTGCTTCCGTTCTCGCAGTCACAGTTACCTGCGGGCAATCCAGGCAGGTTGTTCACAGGATGAAGACACTGCTTCTGTGGATTCGGAGACACCCCCACCCACCACTGTAGGCTTCAGCTACAGCTCCAACTCAAGTGAGTACCAATTATAGGAGGCTGTTTGAGTGAATTTGCCCCAGGAAAAAAAAATGAACTAGCATTTAGTAATTTACCCAGTAACTTGTTATTTAAATAGTTGATAAATAAAAGAGAAAGAAATAAGGCTACACAGCGGTGCAGTTTGTAGTTTGTTGCAATGCAGAAACAAGGTCCTAGGTTTCATTCCTGTCCTGCATGAAGCTGAATGTTCTCCACATGCATGTGTGGACTTTCTCCAGGTACCCCAGCCTTCAACCTCACTCCAAAAATATGATCTAAACTGCCCTGGGGTATGTGTGTGGGGGTTTGTGAGTGCATGGTTGTGTGTCTCTTTGTTACCCTGCAATGGACCTGTCCAGGGTGTAACCCAACTTCTGCCCATAGACTGCTGGAGGTAGGCACAAGACCCCTGGGACCCTGATGAACAAACAGTAGAAGATGGATGAATGACTGGAACTGCACAATAGAAAATGTGTTCTGCTGAAGGAGCAATGAAAGACCAGTTTAACTTATTAAATCCTGGAGTCGGCTCTACTGCAGAGAAATAATGCATAAAAAACTAGAATGCCTTATAGGTCAATAAAGGTTTATTACATTGTCTTAAAAAGGTTCCTCAATAGAACAGGGAAACGGTGGCCACTCTCATTGAGTGCATCTGTTTCAGTTTATATATCTATATATAATTAAAAGCTAGCTGGACTGAAATTGTTACTGAAGTTGCTGTTTGCTACGCTGAACACCAATTTATTCCCTTCTAAGATATAAGAAACAAACAAACTGTCTGAATTAATTAAATTAAATGCTCAAATTTGGGAAAATGTTACTCAGGCACAGTTGGTCATTCTATATATAAAGGGTAAAAATGTATCCTTTGATAGAGCTATTTTTGAATAATAGTTTCCTGAATTCAGTTAGCTATATTAAAAGGGTACTTACTTACACCTTTTATTGAATCTAGGTTTATAATAATATTAATTTTACACGCAGCCAAGGTCAGTGAGGGGGGGACTCAAACCTGGGACAGCTGCACTAAGGACTGAGGCCTTGCATAGCTTGGGGTTAGTATACATATGCCCACCATCGGACAATGGACAAGTTGAATTCATGGACCACTGATCTGATATAATCATTAATGAATGATTGTGACTTTTTACCAAGGCCAGGTAATAAGGAAACCTACTTGTTGAAGCATCACACTTGACATTGATGACATCAGGATGTATTTAAATAAGCGATCCAACAAACAGGATATACAACTTGTACATTGGAATATAATTTTAATCTGATTCTATAAGTGTGACTAAATGAGACATGTAAGATGATTTTAACAGAAAAAGCTTAACGACCAGAAATGAATATTGCAAAAGCTCAACATACCGGATGTGAATGGACACCCTGATAAGGTCACATGTAAATTAAGAAACTGCAGCAAGTAAGCAAAGGTCAGCTAAATGCTAAGAAATCAGCAAATAAACCCTGGCCGTTTCACTATACATGATATGATGGGTTTTACTCAAAGTTCAACATCCTGGCGCTGCATGGAGGACGGCAGACGACTAGTGAGTGTCAAGCCACCATTCAGGTTAAGAAGGAAAATATCCTGAAGTATGTGAGAGAAATGGCCCTAATGTGAAACCAAATCTAAAAGATAACAAGGCTTTGGAAAATAATTTGAAATTGAAAATGACACAAAGGATTTCCCTTTGTAAAAAATAAAGGATACATCTGCCTCCCCTCTCTCTCTATCTATATA